ACCATCATATCCTCGGAAATTGTGTGCTATGACGTATAGCTGTGCTTTAATTTTTGAAGCTCTGATAGCGACATCTTTGAACAAATAGTCTGAAAACTGTTCAACTACATTATCTTTATAAAATGTACGGATACCATATCCGCACACTTTACACCCATCATTTGGTTCATCGATAGAGACATCGCATCTTTTCGCCATTTGTTGGTAATCCCAACACTTGTCGCAAACACATACTTTGTAATAAAAAAGTAATTTATATATATTATTAATTTTAATATAAATATAATATGTAATAATAACTTACATGAAATAAGAAGATTAGGTTTGTGATCATAAAAACCGTTATTTTGGGCTATTTGTTCACTTTCAATGTCAAAACAAACTATTAGTTTGTTTTCTTTGTCCTCTTTTTCCAACTTTTTTACATTCAAAGGTTTTATATAACATAAATGAGGTGTTTCAGTATAATAAACTTTACATTTATTACATTTGAGGTGATAGCAAACATGTTTTGCTCTTCTATCAGTCGAGTATTCAACATTACAATTAGCGCATGTTTTAGACTTAACTTTGCAGATATTGTTATTTTTATGATTTTGATAACATATATCATTTGCATAACTGCGATTGCATAAATCGCAATCTACTTTATCACCTCCGTTGTCACATTTGGGATAAGTAGAACAGTAGTTACACACATACTTACATGTGTGATTAATTTTTTGATGTTTTGTTAAACAATATTTACACAAATCAGATATCTGTGTGTATGCATTGATGTCTTTAATAAAATTATAATGTCCAGTGTTTTTACTGTAGTCGATGTGTTCAATGAATAATTTGTTGGGAAAGTCTGTAGAGCCTTGAAATAAATAGTTGTCAACATTTGATGAATCAATAATTATTAACTGTAATCCTTGAGAACCGTCAGTCAATGCAATAGTGTTAAGATACTCTTGCATTTGAGCCCAATGTTTTTCTCCGAAAGGTTTGTTGAAATCAAGACCGGCCAAATTACACAGCTTTTCAGATTCTTCTTTTTGATATTTGTCTGAATATTTGTTTGCAGTTATTTTTTGCCATTTTCTATTTCCATGAAGTTTTTGATTAGAATAGCTTTCGAGAAACCACATAACTCCAACCCAAACAGCTCTATAACCGCAACCGACATCTGAAATTATATTAATAGAAATATTTGTAAATATAAATTAAAAATTAATGAATAATCTTTTAAATACCATTTTTGTTATCAATCCTAACAATGCATTTTATACGTTTACTTCTTTCACTTGATGTTTCCGGTGGTAGTTGTCTTTTGTTTTTCATATTAGGTCCAGATCCTTCTAGCGATTCAGTTACATAAACTTTCATTTTAAATACGGAGAGCAAAAACTCTGTATTTGATTGAATTAATCCAAATATTCTGTTTGCAAACTCATTTTTATCAAACTGTGAGATTGCTTTACCACCCATATATAGTGGTTTATTCAAACCCTGTGCTTCAATTACCACACTATAATAATCATTTGGTGAATGATTACGGAACGCCGGTCGTACCAACGACTCATACATCTCATTTATTTGGTCATTTAATTGAAGCAAATTATCTATTGAACCCAAATTATGTTGAAATCGGATGTCTTTACGGTGCTCTTGTCTCTTAAGTTTAATGTATGAATGGGTAGACTCATTCAATACATGAAACTTGACTAATTGTTTAACTAAACAAAAAATTTAATTATAATAATTGCATAATAAGTTATATAATTTTTAATACATACCTGTATTGTCATTGTTGTCATTGTTGTCATTGTTGTCATTGTTGTCATTGTTGTCATTGTTGTCATTGTTGTCATTGTTGTCATTGTTGTCATTGTTGTCATTGTTGTCATTGTTGTCATTGTTGTCATTGTTATCATTGTTGTCATTGTTATTGATTGCTATGTAGTCGGGTGGTGTATCCACGAGTGAGTCCTGACTTTGATTATATGACTCATCAGCACCAGCACCCTCTTGTACTGGTAAACCATAATTATTGTTGACCAATAAATTAAGGTTCACGTAGAAGTCGTCAGTGAAATCATCGCTAAACATGTCGTCCATTACATCAGGTATTTCGTCATCCAATTGTTCTCTAGGGTCAGGTATTGCGTCGTCCATAGGGACATCCGACTCGACCGTTGACTCTGGGATATGCGCGTTGTCCATTGCGTTGAATTGATCGATAAAAATAATAGTTGAAATACTGTAAAGTATACTTTTATAAAATTTGTTAAAATATTAGATTTTATAGAATAATTTATTATTTTATAATTAATTAATAAAAATAATTTTTATTTTTATTAAGTAATTATTTTTTAATTTTTCTTAATATTTTTCTATTTATTTTCTGAATTCTGAGTTTTTTAAAATTATTTTTTTAAATATTTTAAAAATAATTTTTTTTGAAGTTTTTTTTTTGAAAAGTTTTTTTTTGAAGTTTTTTTTGAAAAGTTTTTTTTTTCAAAAGTTTTTTTTGAAAAGTTTTTTTTTTGAAGTTTTTTTTTTGAAGTTTTTTTTGAAAAGTTTTTTTGAAATTTTTTTTTGAAAAGTTTTTTTTTTTGAAAATTTTTTTTTTGAAAATTTTTTTTTGAAAATTTTTTTTTTGAAAAGTTTTTTTTTGAAAGTTTTTTTTTTTTTTAAAATTTTTTTTTGAAAATTTTTTTTTGAAAATTTTTTTTTGAAAAGTTTTTTTTGAAAGTTTTTTTTGTGCTTACTTTATTTTTTTTTATAAATAATCACAAATTATAAATTCAAGACTCAGTTATACACTGATATCTTCCACTGGCGAGTTAATTTGATGTATGTTTGAATACAATGCTAGCCTCAATCCAATGTATTCCGTACTACAGTCTATAAGACACTAATTTGTTAATTTGACCGCTTAATAGTTAATTTTTCATAATTATTTTTTTATTAGTTTAAACATCATATTTTTAAGCATCTTTTAAGAATAAAAAATTTTAATTTTAATTACAATTAAAAAAGTTATTAACAATTTAAGTTAATTAATATATACAGTATATGTAATATTATTGCAATACAGTATGTACATATTATTTCAATACAGTGATGTCATTATATTACATGTATTGTATGCAATAATTAATGTTAGTTCGGGTAGTTGGTCAGTTCGGGTAGTTGATCAGTTCGGTTAGTTGGTTAGTTCGGTAAGTTGGTCAGTTCGGTAAGTTAACCAGTTCGGGTAGGTGGCCAGTTCAGGTATGTGGTCACTTCGGGTGGTTGGTCAGTTTGGGTATTTGGTCAGTACGGGTGGTTGGTCAGTACGGGTGGTTGGTCAGTTCGGGTATTTGGTCAGTTCGGGTGGTTGGTCAGTTCGGGTAGTTGGTCATCAGTACGGGTAGTTGGTCAGGTTAGGTTCGGGTAAGGTTCAGGTAGAGGTAGTGGTGACGTCATTGGTGTAGTACACTTAGGTTAGGTTAGGTGGAGTCACGTGATCTCCGTCACCTATTCTCCGTCATACTGTTATATGGGGGAAAGCACTGTGCTTTCCCCTTCCGTCACCCTTATGTCGTAACTACTAATAATAATAATTTTATTTTAATTTTCTTTAATTTATATCACTAAATATTTATGTCACAAAATATAAAAACCTGATATATTTTAATAATTATGTATAAATGTTATCTATAAATGCTATCTGTAATAATAATAATAATAATAATAATATGCTTAATTTGTGATATCAATTTTATAAATCTAAGTTTATATAAGTTTAATTTTTAATCTTTATAAATTAAATTGGTAAAGTTTATTTTAGTTATTTTTAAAAATTCAAATTAAAAATCTCAATTTTTTGTTATCAAAATTAGTTTAATAGTTTAAACTAAAATTTTACTTTAATTTCATTTAATCTATTAAATCATATGATAATATTTGACAAACTAAAATATGTTATTTATTTTAAATTACTATATTTGGTAGAAACTTAGTAAAAAGTTTAAAAATATAAAACTACAAATACATATTACTATACTTATAATAGTACTGTATATATATATATATATATATTAATCTAGAATTTTTCCAATAATTTCAAAACAATATTATCATTAAGTAAAGCAAACAATTTTTGTCAATAAAACATTTTTAAAAAATAGATAAAAACATTTTTGCTTTAATCTAATGATGATTTCCTTTAAACAAAAAAAAAATTTGACAAATAAAATCATTAATTGCTTATCATAACAAATTTTTTTATAAAAAATCATACAGTTTATTAGATAATAAGCATAAACATTGTAACTTAATAAAAAAAATATTTTTAAAAATATTAAATAAATGTACAAAATTTCTTATATATTACTACTATATTAATACAATGATAGTAAATTAAATATGTATTAAAATTTAAAGCATAAATAGAGATTTATTAATATGTAATATTATATATATATAGTATACATTATATACTATATATATAAAAATAAATAAAAAATAATATATTTATAATATCTGTTATATATTTATAGTATATTCTGTGTATACAGAGCTGTCAATTGAAAAATCGCGCCACAAATGGTGTGTTTGAAGTATAAAAACATCATTTGAATGAAAATGTGTGACGAAATGTGTTGTCATTTTTTAAATAACAGTTTAGAGTTGAAAACTTTTATGTTGTTTTGTGTATATAAAATAAACAATCTTTTTAATAGTATCCGATCCGATAGTTTTTTAAAATTTAATTTAAAAAAACTATTACTCTGGTAATCCAAAAATGAATTATTTTTATAAACACTATTAATTAACACTTGAATTTTATAATTATTTTTTTTGATACTGATTTGTAACTGTATTATCCGATCATTTTTTAAAACCATAAATTCACAATTACCCGATCCGGTTAATCCACTCCCGGTTTCTGTCATCTCTAGTTGCTATCATTATTACAGTATATACACAGTGACTGAGTTTCAATGATTTACTACAACTGTATTATAACTTAGAGTTTAACTACAATTTGTGTCAAACAAACTGATTGTATATTTTGTTTGATATTATTATTATTATTAGTCAAACATTTTATAGTCAATCAATCAATCAATTGATAACCAGTTTTATTGGTCTATCATTGGATCACTTGATATATCACTCAAATAATTGTGATTCAAATCACTTGATATTTGTTTGACAATACAGACAAAAAAATAATGAATTGATTGAGTTGTTTGATATATCACTTCCAGAGTGTCTTCAAAAGCTTTAGAGTTGTGTTTTTAAGAGGTCTTTCCACAGATTTTTTTTTGGTCCATCATTTGGTTTGTGACCACAAGACTCGTTTGACATCCTTCTCATGATTGCCACAGAGATGACCACTCAAATGGATACGACAACGACAACAACAATTGGCAACAGAATCGAAGAGAATATCATTAATATCATCAAAAGTAAGACCACAACAACAACCACACCATCTATTCTTCAGTTTCTTATATATATATATATATGATATTTAACAATACAATTATCGCCACTTCTTATTATTCATTCGTAACCAATAGCCGACAAATGTCTTGATTCGGATCTATTTATAAAACGAAATGAAATACAAATCCATCTCAAACTCTACAACTCTATAGATATTACATCCCGTAGTCTGAAGTCATCGGCCGTCAGACTACGGGTATCGATGTATCAGATGTTGCCGAAAGATGCCGAAGCCTCTAACGATGGATCAAATTTTGGTCTCCAATTGACGCCAATCGAGTTGTCCGTTCAGAACGACAAGGAATCGCTGTTTGCACCGCAGGAACCGTTCGGACGTCTGTATTCACCGAAAGAATATCTGATATATCGGACAAAATTTACCGAAATGGACGAAGTGGTACATTAATATTAATTGATGATAATATGGAATCAGATGATTATTAGGTGATTATTATGTGATGTTTTTGCTATTCTTTACTAAAGGCGTTCACAATTGAACTCTTGACCGACGATTCCGATCCGAAACGGATTGCATTTTGCAATCTGTTTGCCTCGCATTTGAAGGACACTAATGGAGTCATATCGATGTCATTTAATACCGAAAACGGCAAAATTGTCGCTCAATTGCACTGTATTTTAGACATTTGTTTTTTATCATTATCTGTATTATAAGATTTTTGTTTGTAATTTGTTGTTATTGTTATTGTTTTTTTATTTGTGATCACAAAAACAAATCATTTAGTTGAATATCTGATTATGAATCCGATTAAGTGTACCGAAGATTTTCACGAAAAAGTATCGGTCGAGAGTTGGCTGACACACGCCAAGGGCTACGATGTTGGCCATCGGGGCGCCGGTATTGCCCGTCGGACCGATCGTATTGAGAATATTCTGGAGAATACTATCGCTTCATTCAATTTTGCAAGTCTTCACGTAAGTCGTAGTCGTTATTATTCAAAAAAAAAAAAAAAAAATAATTAAAATATCATTGCGTGGCAACAGATTCGATGATTTTTGATTTTATATTTTGTTTGTTTGATGTCATTATTTATTATAAAAAATATTTCATAAATTTTTATAATAGTTTATTTTTTTATAAACGATAAACTGTTTTGCTTGTAATTAATATCAATTGAAATATTATGTAAATAATTTAATTCATGGCCTAACATATTAGATACAAGTATTTATTATACAGATGTTTTGCTAATTTAAAAAAAGATTAATTTACTATTTAATAAGTTAGACTATATAGAATAAAAGTATAAAATTAGCTATTTTTTTGAGGAGATATTTATTTATTGTAAAGCAAATATTTATTGTCAATCATAAAAATTAAATGTTAATGTATAACGACTTTATCGGCAATTATCGCAAAAATTTAAATGACATATCTCTTCGATAGCATTAATGATAATCACATCAAAAAAAAAAAAAGTTTTATAAAAATTATTATTATTTTTTTTTTTTAAAAACTACCTAATTGATTTTTATAAATTCAAGGCTAAGCTTAATTTTTTACAATTATTATTATATTAGTAATTTAAATTTTAGCATTTAATAATGACATATATTTTTTTAATTATTATAATAACAACATTTAATTTGCTTTTATATAAACATTTTATTAGTGGAAAGTTTATCATAATTATCATAGTTATCATAATTACATCAAAACATTGCTTGAATAGATAATTATAGAAACTTTTCTAATAGATTATAAACAAACAAAACTTAAGTTGAATAAATTTTTAGTAAATATCTTTTATATTACGGTATTTTTAAATGATTTACAAAATAATTACTTAAATTTAATAAAAAAAATATAGGCGATAATTAATTGTACATTTAAAAAATGATATAGCGCAGTTGACCAACAACAAAAAATGAGCCAGTAACTTAATATTATTTATTATATAATTAATTATTATTATTATTATTATTATCCATGGTTACATTAATAGGGCGCCGACATGGTTGAGCTGGATGTCCAACTATCCAAAGATAAGATACCTATCGTTTACCACGACTTTAATGTCAATATTATAATGAAAAATGTATGCAAATTATAATTCATTAATATCTAATTATCTGTAATTGTTTTAATTAATTAAACGAAATAAAATAAAACACAGAAACGTACAAAACTGGACTCAGGAAGACCATCGACAGAAGTACATACAATGGCTATTAAAGATCTGACATTCAGTCAACTACAGAGTCTTCAGGTAATTTGATTTGGTTTTGATTGACAATTATAGCGAATGATTGTATTTTTTTCAAAATAAAACAAAATATTAATACATGTTTTTTGTTTGTTTGTTAATTACAGTCTATGCCTGTCATTAAAGGTATATTAAATCTAATTAAAATAGTTTTAAATTACATTTATAATAATTAACTCTTAAATGTTTGTCTCATTTATTTATTTACTTAAAAAAATAAAAGAAAATAAAGTTTACTACGATTTTGGTGACGAAGACCAGAGCGAAGAGCACCTACCGTTTGCTAGTCTTCAGAAGGTCTTGGAAATGGTTGATCCAAAATGTGGTGCAAACGTTGAGATTAAATATCCTCAAGAAAAAGTCGTAAGTTTTATATGAAAATATGTTTTTTGTTATTGTTGTGTTTATTATTTTATTATTATTATTATTAACTATTTATTATTGTTATATATAAAAGTGCGGTCAATGGGAGGCGGATAAGACATTTGATTTGAACGAATACGTGGACATAATATTGTCGATTGTCTTCGAGTTTGGCGGCGCTCGCAATATAATGTTTTCATCGTTTCATCCGGATATCTGTGCCCTGTATGTGACTGAACTGATCACATACAGCATGTTTGACTAATACAAGAATCTGAATGACACTAAAACTTTCTGTTTTTTATTGTTGTTGTTGTCCTCACCTTTTAGGCTCAAATACAAACAAACCCGATATCCGGTACTATTCCTAACACAGGGACTGACCGCAAAATGGCCGCCATTTAAAGATTACCGTGGTAGTTCTATTGAAATGGCCGCATATTTTGCCCAATGTGTAGGCCTGGAGGGTGTCAATGTTCACGCAGAAGATATCATCAAAGATCGATCACTAATCGGTTTTGTCAAATCAAAGAATTTGATTCTGTTCTGTTGGGGCGATGATCTCAATGATACCAAACTCATATCGGAGCTCAAAGGACAGGGTGTCGATGGTGTCATTTATGATCGGTTTGTTTAGTGTTTGTTATTATTGTAATTATTGTGTCATATATTATAATATACAGTAAAATTAATTATCAATAATTGATATATATTTTTGTTTAATTAACAGAATCGACATTCTTTGCGCTAAAGGTTTTTCAAACTCCAAGTAAATTGAAATCATCGGAAAAAATATTACCGTAAACTCTAAAATTGTTGGTCACATTGGTTTACTAATTGGTTTATTGTTTAATATATATATATAGAATAATCAAAGTTTGATTGATTAATTTTGTTTATAAGCAAATATTTTTTAAAAAATATATAATATTACCGATATATTCGGGGTTTTCAATATTATTATAATTAATTAATGTAGAGATATATAAGACTACTAAAAAAATAATTGTTACATTTTTTTTATTTATTTTTCTATCAATGCATTTATCTATCTCTGAATAACTATCAATGTTTCAATTTAATCTTACAATAATAATTTGAAGACATGTTATTTTTAGGTTACTAGTCTTTTAGATATTTTTTCACACATAAAAATATTTAATTGGTTTTAAATTTTTGATTTTATTTTAATAATGTGTTTACTATTTTTACTCTTCTATAATATACTATAGGAAATAATTCTTTGATATTTATTTTTATAGTTATCTTATTTTTTAAAATTAATTATTACTTAATTTATTATTATGTTTGTTTGTTTGTTTGTTTGTTTACTATACATATATTTGTAAATAATTTATACTTTAGTAGAAAAATTTCTATTATAAATTTTAAATTAAGATTTTAAAAAAATACATTACTTTTAGGGATTAAGTGAATTATATCATGAGATTTGTATATAATTCACAAAACACAGGTCAATGCTATGCAATATCATCTTTATTTAAGATTATTTTATGACATTAAAAATATTATTCACAAATAAAACTATTATTATTATTATAAATTATATTATGAAAAAGTGTGTGTTCTTTGTTTTATGAAAATAATATTTATAAAAATAAGAAAAAACATTTTATTACTGATATTTTACATAATATGTTTGCATACATTATAAATAAATATAAGTTCATTATTTTTTATTATTATTGCAATTTTATTGTTTGTTGCTCTCTCTCTCTCTCTCTCTCTCTCTCTCTCTCTCTCTCTCTCTCTCTCTCTCTCTCTCTCTCGCTCTCGCTCTCTCTCTCGCGGTTGTCATTCATTGAAATAAAACACATCATTAAGATATTAAGTTCAATGGACTATAATTTCAGTGCGTTTTTTGTGTCTAAAAGTTTTTATTTTATTTTTTAATTTGAAGATCATTTTTGTCTCTCATTGATGGATACCAGTAATATATAATTTTATATATAATAATTTTTTTTATATAATTATACATATAATTTAATACCATTATATAAATTACTAAAAAATAAATATTTCCAGTAAAGTGTGCATATATAATATTATTAAATATTGCAATATATGTAAATGTATAAAAAAAGCATTAAAATAGATAAAATATTTTATCTAAATTTTAGTAAACAATTTAGTTTATTGTACTTGAATTTATATTACCGTAAATGAATAAATTAAATAAAACTAATTAAAACAAAAATGTCAAAATATTTATCATAAACAATAATATGAGTCAATAAGTACAGGTAATTATTAGTTATTATTATTATTTTTTTAGTACAATAAGTAATAAAATGTACTCTTTATACAGATTTTTATATCTGGGTACTAATAATATATATCACCTGTATATCATAAATATAAATAACTATTTAGCCAATAACTTATATAAAATTTATATATATATTTTAAAATCATATATTGTGTAAATGTTATATTTTTGTGAAAAAAAGTTTCATTGATTAACATACACTATATATTGTATTTGATTAAACAATGAATCATTTTTTAAATAAAATATTTACACAACAAATATGTTTAGCACTTTAAGTGCTTAATAATTTTTTTTGATGATTAATTAACATAAGTTTTAATTTTTATAATGTATTACAGTTTTAAATTTATATGTATATAAACCATATATAAAAAGTGATTATTAAAATATTTTTATATAATGCATATAATTGATGACATTAGATGACAATGAATATAAATTTATATATATATATATATATATATATATATATATATATATATATATATATCTACAGTATTTAAAATATAATAAATTATTATCATTACAATTATTGCATAGTAAATTGCTAATAATATGACTATATATAAAAATAAAAATGTGTATAAATTTATTAGATATATGCAATTTTATTAATTTTAATTTTTTTTTGTAAAATAGAAAATTTATTCAAATTTTTGTTTGTTTGTTAACTTATCTAATATAACATTTTTAATTTATAATATAATAAATATAAAAATAATAAAATATTTTTTTCCAAACAATTATTGGTGCAAATGTATTGTGACGTATGGTTTAAATGTCAAACATATGTAACTAAAAAATATATAATTTTTTTTGTGACAATTTGTTTCACATTACTGTACAGTACTTATTGATAGTTACTGTATTGTATAAATATATCACTGTATCTCATATAAACAATTTTAGTACTATTTTATATATATGGAAAAATATGTTAAATATTATGCAATTATATAATAACAAATAGGTACAAATTGTTTACTGTTAGTTAACAGGTATATATAAAATATTATTTTTTAGTAGTGATGTACAGACAAGAGTTTTTTACTGATATAATACTATAATTTACAGTAAAATCTGTTTACTGATTACACACACACACATACTTGTAATTAATATATATATATTTAATTAATTAACTAATTAGTAGCAAATTTACACATAAACAATACAATAATTTTAATTAATAATAAAAACAAAATATTTACTACAAAATAAAATACTATTAATAAACAGATTAACCACTAAATGGTTTGTAATGTAATAAATGTATAGATACTGTAAATTACAAATAATATTGTGTATGTGATTGAGTAGTAGTAGTATTACTACAGTAATACATACTTACAGTGTTTAAGACAATTGTTTTTTAGTGATATTAATACACAAATAGTACTCTAAATGTAATAATCATTGTTATTATTGTCGTCTAAACAAAAAATACATACTTTTATTAAACACAACATTAAATGAGTAATACATTAGTTAACGACAACAACAATACAAGTGTTTTGTTTTTTTGTTTGTATAATACAGTCATTTAATCGTTAAATTTTATGTTTTAATTAATAAATAATCGCCAATTTATTAGTGAAAAATATATATAATTAAAATAAAAAACATTTATATATGATTTTATAAATATTTATTTATTTATTATATGTTTATTTAATTAAATTGTTTGGTATAATAAAGTAAACAAACGGTAAGTCATTTTTTTTAAATAAAATAAAATAATGTATACATTGTTTATATTATTATAATTTTGACAATAAAATTGATCTAGATTACTTCACTAATTATCTATTAATTATGTGTGTATGCTAATAAGCTAATAAATATAAACATGGTAATTTAATTATTATTATTAGTAGTAGTATTTAGTTTTATGATATCATAGTATATGTGGTATTTAAAGCTAATATGAATTATTGAATTAAAAATAATGTATTAATATTTTGTTGTTGTTAATTAAATCTATGTTTTTAATTACAATTTAATTTAACAGACAATTATAGTGTGTTTGTCCCCAAACAATGAGTTCAATGTGTTTATATATAAGTCATATATTTAAATATTTAAGTCATTTTTAATTGATATAATGAACTCTTAATATATTTTGTTTTTTGGATATATTTTTAATTTATTGTCTGATTATTTTGTTTATATATGTTGTATATATAATATATATATATATATATATATCATATATAAGTGTTAAAAATTATGTTTATATCTTAATAAACTCAATTTCCTGGAAAAATAAACATAAATTTATATTAATATATAGATCATAGTTTTATATACAGTATATTAACATATATATGATAGATAACAAAATATTTTTTTGTCAATTGAATAAATTTAATGTTGTATTTATAAAAAATTAAATATTGAAAACTCATACAAATAATAAGTAAAATATATTTTAGTATTAATATAAAAATTTATATGTAGTTAAATGTATATTAAATCGTATGTATTATAATATTATTATTATTATAAAACTTGAATCCTATAAAAAAATTGTATTTTTATAATAACAACAAATAGTTTTAATATCTTATCATTTAATTGTTAACTTTTATTTTTTTAAATAATAACAAATGGTTTTTGCAATTTATAGTCAATTTTGTTATTTTTAACAATAAAGTGCAAATATGTACATTAAATGATATAATTGAACTCATTTTTTATATTAAATAATATATATGTGGGGTATTTACCTGTGTATTAATTTTATTTATTTTTGTTGACACTTATATTCAATCATTTATGTATAAAACAAAACAATTGGATTATTAATTATCATTAAGTTTATGATTACGTAATGAACTGACTTTAATAATTATTGTTTATTTTTAAATAATTATTTTGATATTAATTAGTGAAAAAATAAGTAAATTTTTCTATATTTTACTTATCATGTGTTTTTTAAGTTACAAATTTATTTTAAAATCTAATTGTTAATTTAGATGACTATAATAAATGCAAAATAAGTTTTGTGAATACAGTATAACTTTTAAAAATATTATTAAAATTAAAATATCTACTATCGACTACTTTTATTTATTTATTTATATTAATTTAATCATATAATTTCCTCATGTAATGATGAGATAAAATTATAATTAAAACCATTTGCAATTAAAGTAAAAAATAATATTAAGTGTAGTAAATATTCAATTGAAGGTTTTTATTTTTAAAAAACACATTTGACTTATTAACAGCAAATTTTAATATATAATTATACGCTTATATTAATAGAGTTATGTAAATGTATTCAATTAATGCAATTACGTAAAAGTATTTAATGTTGTGTCTAAAAGTATTTAATGAATAAAATTTTTATATATTATGCTTAAAATTTTCAGTGTATTTAGCATTTTATGCTTTATATTATTATTATTATTACTAATAATTTAGTTGACATTAATTTAAATAACCATTTATGGACCCTAAAAAATTATTAGATAACACAAAAAACTATTAGCATAATTGAAGTTTGATATAAAAATCTTATAATAATAATAATAATACTTTACTGTGTGATTGGTGTTCATAATTAATATTAGTTTTGTTGTTAATAGAGAGAGACAATAGTTTTTTTAACTTTAAATTACAAATTATTTTTATTAATTATCATTATTTAGAGATAAAATAATGATTAAATAGTGATTAAATAGTGATATGCCGTATATTTATGTCGAAAATATTTTTTTTAATGATAACATTAATTAATTATTATTTTTTTAAAAATGTCAATTTTTTATCAATTAAGACTAAGAAAACTGGAAAAATCAATCGACATAACAGTGTTCGCCTTTGTGTGCGATTCTTCATATAATTCTTTAAGACATCACCAAAGATGTCGGCCGATGTAAACTCTTTGTCGTCAATCGCTTCAATGATTAAATGCGATGACAAACCTATTATTTATGATTATAACCAAAGAAGTAGTAGTAAATTATTAGCCTTTGGGCTGACAAACAATATGTTTTCCAATGATACTTCTTGTGCTCTGAACTGTTCCGGACACGGCGACTGCTACAATGGTACCTGTTTTTGTGAGGTATTACCATCGATGACTAATGGATTATCTTTTTTTAAAGCAATTAATTACAACCTGTTTTTTGTTCATTCAAATAGGTTGAATATAGTGGCGGCGCCTGTAATGACCCGAACTTACGCTATTATATTGCTTTTTCGACCGTATTTTATATGATATGTGCCGTGTCTTTCATTCAATTGGTATTTATTTATTTTTTGTTTGTTTAATAAATAACTATAAAATAATGAATGAATTATTGATTTTGTATTTTTTGTTTTAATTAATTAACAGATACTTTGTATAAACTCTGAATTCTCACGACTTAAGCCGCGATCTTTCATACGAGCGCTAAGAATAACGACACAAAAGGCTCTCTATTTTTTCATATGTCTGGCGACAGCCATCCGTGGCTTTTATTTTTCTTCGCCAACAAACGCCAGTCTCGGCTTTTGGGCAGAAAGTCTAATGAGTGCTTATTATCCGGTAGTGTTGAGCGGCTCGTCATTAGTAGTCTGTTTTTGGGCTGAGGTATGTTTTTTTTGTTGTTGTCAACAAAAACCAATAAATCCAATCAAATTAATTGAACAAAAATAGATTTTTAAGTTTTATAATTAATTTTTTTTATTGTAAAGGTTTTTCATTTGCATGACGTGAATGTCGAGAGACCGACATTTTTGAGCAAATCTTTTACCGGATTTATACTCTTCAATGTTGTCACGTATTCCTTATTGATGGCCGAGTTAGTACTGCTCACGTTTGCTAACCCGACTGCAACTGATAAGGTATTGAAACTATTTATTACCAATTAATTTAGTTTAATAATTTGTTTGTCTTTTTTCTCTCTATAATTATCCAGAATTTGTTTTTAAGCATTTTTAATAGCATTTATGCTCTATTGATGCTAATTGTGGTGATATTCTTCCTCATCTATGGTGTCGAAGTCTACTTTAAAGTAAGCAATTTTGATTATAGAGAGAGTAGAGTGATGATGATTATGGTAAGTGATAATATTATTGTTATTATCAATTTATTAGGTGAGAGGCGCTTTCATTCAAGAGGAATCAATTCCTCAAGACTTATCTCAATTACAACAGTCAAGACTCGGTCTCATATCTCAAGCTGTTCTGCTATTAATAACAGTTTTGTTTATGTTTTCCGAGGTTTTGGGCAGTTTCTGGAAAGACAAGTAAACAAATAATTTAAGAAATATTTTTAAAAATCTAATCTTTGATGTGTTTTTATTTTTGTAATAAAAGAGTTCCCGTCTTAAGTCGAAACTATCATCAAATAATGTTTCGAGTGGTCGAACTGGGAGTCGCTCTTTGGTTTCCATGTGTTCTCTGGAATTGCATTCGACCTGAAAGACTATGGATTTTGAATCCACGAAGAATTCTTAAGAGAGAGCCGTCGCGAGACTTTGCATTGACTCATATCAGAGAAGCTGAAGCCCTGGTTTCTGGCAATAATGTAACAATAGTTCGTACCGAACAAAATGGATCGACGCGGACACTGCCCGAGTGCTGGATCTGTTACGATGTCGACCGTAAAGACAGTGGTCCACTGATCCAGCCGTGCGCGTGCAAAGGCGATGTGTCGGCCGTACATCACGACTGTCTTCGCAAATGGCTAATGGAGTCCTACTCTAATCCGGAGAACGTGCGCTGCAAAGTGTGCAACGAGTTGTATGAAGTGGAAAGAGGACACGTTTGGATAACATCGGGTCTAACAATAACCCATTGGTTCAAAACAGCAGCAATAATATCGATAATGTGCAGCGCAGCTGCCGGCACCTGTCTTGTCATCAAAATCTTTGAGCACATGTATGTCAAGACCATTAGCGTCGGCTGCGCTATACTTGTGGAGTATGTGTGTCTCAGGTACGGGTGTTTGTTGTTGTTGTTGATTCAGTGATATACTGTTTTTATAATTGTCATTAATTTGATTTTCTTCTCTATAAATTTAATAATAGATTTTTAGGCTTCAATATGATATCGGCCTACCAACGGGCCAAGTTCTCAGCCATCAAAATAATTGGCCAAAAAATATCAATCGGTAGTACACATAATCATCCAATGATGACGACAATGATGACCACTGTCAGTCAAACGATTCCACACCATCAGCTATGCACGTCGTGTGTGTCAAAACAAGAGTCAATAGATGAATCCATGACATCGTTGTCGTCATCGTCGTCCTCATCGCGCAATGACGACAAAGAACCAAACGTTGAACCAATGGTCATACAAAGTGATCAACCAATCGATACGACAACTATTGTCTGCAATACGTGATTTGGTTTTGGTAAATGGTTTTTTGTTTGTGTCATTGTATTGTATTTTTTTGTGTGTTTGGTTGACAGCCACCTCAAAAAAATGTTTGAAAGTCCATTGCGTTAACCGCTCTAATCGATTGATAATATAATTATAGTATGTATTTGTGTGTATATATTAATATATATAAGTTATTACGTATATATGATTTATTAAAAGCTATTTAAATATTTAAGAGCAGACTTTGGTATTTCATTAAAAGTTGATTAATTAAAAAAAATATATACATTAATTACAAATATGAATTTGTAGTAGTATTGCATGAATACAAATATATTAATACAGTAGTTTTGTAGTATTTTTTGGTTAAATTATTTTTTCCATTTTTTTTTAATAAGCTATGAGTCAACTTAATTAGATAATTATATTTGTCGATTATTAACTAATATATTATATATGAAATAAAATTATTTAGTAATATTCAGTAGTACCTAATATATACTGTACACTGTCTACAGTATATAATGTAAATAATTTACAGATTTATTGTAATAATTTATGTATGTATGTGTTATTTATAGTAGTAGTCTATAATATATTACTAATATACCTGTATAGTGGTAACTTGTGATTACCTTGATAAAATATTACCTGTGTAAAATATATGAGTTGACTCAATTATTAATATTTATTAATCGTAACTTTTCGTATCTGCTAATGATCTATAGATTTTAAAAGTAGTATTTATTATAATTATTATCATTACTGTATTATACAGTAATTAATGATTTAAATATGATAATTATTATTAATATTATTAGATAATTTTTAGCAAATTTTAAATTATAATATAATTATACAAAGCTACTGTACTCTAAATATTTTTTAAAAATAGCTAACTTCATATATATGTACGATTTAGTACTAATAGAAATTATTTTCACTTTTTAATTTAATTTAATTTAGCATATATTTTCATTTCAATTTTATATTTTGATATATAATTTTTATTAGTATTGTTATTATGTCACTTAAACTGTTTGTTAATACTAATAATAATAATCATAATAATGATTATTATTAATGGAGTTATATGTAATATTCCGGTCCAGACATAATCGTTAATATATTATACAAAACTTATCATTTATTTAAAATATTGTAATTTATAATATATTAATATTATATTATATATACACACACATAAAAAATTCATTAGTTTATTCATTATTTGATACCCATATTATATATATATATATTAAATATATAAAACTTATATTTCTATTAAATATAAAAAATATGCGAACAAATCCCTTATAACAAAACAAAAAAACTAATGTTTGAATTCCAATAATTTTATGAATATATTTGATTGCATTGCATCCTGTGATCAAATAATATATATATGATATATAAATAATTTATAATTAATTATTATTATAATAACAATTTGCGTGAAATATATTCATAAAACTAATAATAAGTTTTTTCTATTAGAAAATTTTTAGTCATTAGTATTATTATTATTATATTATAGATAATTTTTTAGATAATCTGTATTTTGAATGACATGGATATTGTGTTTTTAAGGGTTTATTATTATTACTATTAAACGGTTTGGATTTTTTTGGAGAGAGACAAAAAAAAGTTTGAACTTTTAAAGAGCAATCAAAAACAAAAATTTATATAAATTATACTATATTTACAAACAAAACAATAATATAATCAAATTTAAAAATTGTTGAAATTTTAATGTAATTTTTAAATGACAAGCAAATAATATAGGTTTTTATTGACTTAATAAAAATATAGAGTATATATCAATAAAATTATATATATATATATATACAGTACATCTAATGTATTTACAGTGTATATGATATATACATTATATGTAATGAGGTTTAAAATATATATATTTAAAAAAAACTAAAAATAAAATTTACCCGACATTTAAAAAAATATTTGTATCTAATTATTTACATTATTATCATTTCGTCATTTAAATTATAAACTATCCAACATTTTATGACAATCGCGTGAAGTCATAAATGCGTGAATACGTACCGATAGTTCGCGACCAACTTTACGTTCGGTATTTGCACCGTTCGGTCGCTGTCTGGCAATGACCACATCGGCCAACAATAGCTGCGGATTTGACTGTCGGCCGTAAGCTTTCAACAATGATTGAGGAGTCGGATATTGAACGGCAATAGCGTTGGCCACATCGTAGCTAACTCTTGGAAATTGCATTAACTGTCGTTTCCATAGTTTTTCGTGCGATTGTCTATCTATTGGGTCGATAGTTCCTCTTTTGTCGGCCTCAGCGAACCAACCGATATCGTTGTCGAGGTTTTTCTGTTTTCGTGCCACCGACTCGGCCACCGAACGTGTATATCGGTAAACATAAGTGGCCACTTCGGCGACATCGTTAGCCTTAATGACACATACTTTATACTGTGAATCCAATTGCAATAATTGAAATTCCATGTCAATGATGGCCAAATCGAGGTCTTCTCTAGTAATCTCTGGCAACGAATCTCTTCGTCTAACTTGTCGTCTACTGCTCTGATGACCACCAGTTTCTTCAGTGGCATTCAATTCATTAAGTCGTCGTCTGAACTGATTTTGGGCCTTATTTTTCTGTTTTCGGAAATATTGCTCTAATTTTAGTACAACAAGTGTTACGTTTGTTATATCAGTCTTTTTGATTAGTTGTTCAACAAAATTGTAAAGTGTTTCACCAGTTTTCGATACAAATGAATGAACCCATTGTATAAAATCGTTGCCATCGATGACAACCATTATATGATTTTCTTGTACTTCACGATCGGTGACACTTACTTGTGATAATTGACTACTACTTTGGTGTTGTTGTTGTTCAACAATATTCAGACGCTTCCTAATCCACGTAACACTCATTGGCACTACTGGTGTATCAGTTGTACGATAGTTACACTCATTTGTGGCAAACAATTCAATTAACACATCTTTAGTCAAATCATATAATTTGGTATCAATTATTGAAAAACAATATTTATGCGACTCTTTAACTCCTTTACTCTTAAGCACCTCTTTGTGAGCCCTGTCCGCCACTTTCATCAACTCTTTCTTCTCTTTATTTAATATCCTAAGTCTTTCTCTTTCTTGTCTATCATTCAACAACTCTTCGCTAGTCTTTTTCGTTTTCTTTTTATTCAAAATATCTATACTCTTCTTCAGTGAATTTCTGATCATATTTTGAGTCTTTTTTGAACACAAAGGAGTTCTGTTGATAAACGAAGGCTTAATTGGTGTCCAATCGCTGCCTAACGATCGCATCGACTGATTGCCATCAAACGTCTTAAACGATAGATCGCCAACAATCAAAGCGTCGTTATTAACGTCATCTTCGGCGATATCATTGGTATTATTGTCATCGATGTCTTTGTTGTTATTGTCATTGTTTTTGTTGTTATCAACGGGCGAACAGAAAACGATTTCAATTGAATCGTTTGATTTGTCACTTTTGTTGTCGTTGTTGACCATCAAGTGATCTTCATCGTCATCCGAGTCCAATGTAAACGTTTCGTTAGACTTATCGTTGATCTGCTGTACAACCGTTGGCTGAATAGCTATGAAACCAATGGCATCGAGACTATCGCCGAACGGATCGTTTCCATTGGTGTCCACTTCTTCTGTTAACTCTTTGGTCAGTTTTGGCGTTAATTTCGGCGTCAATTTCGGCGACGACTCGTGAGATGTTTTGTCTTTGATTCTCGAAAACAGTGGTAACTCGAGGACCGAGTCGTCGCTATTGTCGTCAAATAAACTCATATTTTATTATTTAAAAGTAATTAAATTATTCATTGATTTATTAAATTTAATTCAATTCATGCATTCATTCATTCAATTGTCGCAAACTTTTTCTCAAAAAATAAACAAAACATTAATTTATACAAAAAATATTTTAAAAAAATAACGTTAAAAATGAATATTAAAAAAACTTAAATTATATAATAGTTTTACAAATCATTGCTATAATAATAATATTATTGTCAAACATTTTGTGTCAAAAAAATAATATAATTAACACAAAAAAAAAATTAATAATATTTACTTTTTTTTTGAAAAAATTGGTTAAACATTACAATAACAATCAAAAACCATTGCTATTGAAAACCCCAAAAATCATTGATAAAAGTAATGCCAGAAAAATAAAAATAAAACTTTTTTCGTCCCAAAAGTAAAACAGGTTTTCAAAACTAAAGGCGCGAATCGATTGGCGCTTAAAAAGTTGTGCCAAAACATTGGGCGCACTATTAATATACAGACAAACAGTGGACTCAAAGCCCGCTATAAAAGACATGAGTTTTTGATTTTATTATAAATAAAAGAAAAATGTTTTTTCAATTAAATTAAATTTGATTTTATTTACAAATTATAAGATATTTATTATTATTATTATTATAAATATTATTATATTTTCATTTATTCAAATCAATTGATGTCATAAACAAACGGATAAAAAAATGTTTGAAAGCGAAAACTCCATTGAATTGATTGAAAATCTGAAAATCAAGAGTCGGATAATGAATCGATTGGCCTCAAAGCCGTCGGATTCGGTTTTCGGCTGTAAACCGCTGACCGGACAATTGATTGGCTGCCGACAGATACCCACCGGCCAGACACTGAAGCCGTTAACGCCGACAAACAACAGCTGTTCCCGATATGTACTCAACGGTAACACCAATTTCTGTTCGCTTCGTATCGAAGATCCGAAAAAAGGTATTCATTTTTTTGATGAATGATTTGATTAATAATAATAATTAATTTGTTGACACAGTTGAGGACACCCACGATAAAGATGTGAAGCTAATGTTGACCAATATTCCCGAAATTAGCCGGCATTTGGTCGTCTGCGGCAAACTCGGAGAGGGAACCTTCTCGAAGGTGTTTCGCGCCAAACATTTGCATAATTCAAGCAAAGAATACGCCCTGAAGTATGTCATACCAACCATACGGCCGTCGAGAATAGCGTCAGAGTTGAGATATCTGAGAGATTTGGGCGGATCCAAGAATATCATCGAATTGCAGACCTGTTTCTTCTCGAAAGGCCATACCGTACTGGTTATGCCTATATTTCCGCACCAAAAGTTTACCGATTATGTCAGCCAATTATCATGCGATGAAGTCAGACATTATATGAAGAATTTGTTGATTTCGCTCGAAAGAGTCCACTCGTTTCATGTGATTCATCGCGACATAAAACCGGCCAACTTTTTGTACGACCGAAAGACCCGACGCTATGCTTTAGTTGATTTCGGTTTAGCCCAAAATCAAAGAGAATTATTGGTCAGAACTTATACGACGGGTGCGTTCAGAAAAATACATTCAACTAAAGAACATTTAAACGACAATAAGTTCAAAATACCAGAAAACACGACTAATAATTGCAAACAGTTGTTGTTGTCGTCATCAACGACAAAGAAGACAGCATTGAATGATTGTACGACTGCGGCGGCAAATAATATGGCCATTAATAATAATTCGTTGATAAAATCGGAGACCAAATGGCAAATTAGAAAACGATCGCGAAATGAGGCGCAACTCGTTGAACGATCAAAAGTGGCGCCGAAACGGCCGCGAATGGACGAGTCAAGTGTTTTCCATTCGCCGCTAACGCCTACTGTTTTCAAATCGCCGGGCAATACGACGACAGCGGCGGCAACAACAACCATTGCCGACACCTTAACAACTCCGGTCAAATGCGGCGGTCTCTCAGTTATACCCGAAACGCCACCAAAAACATTGCAAAAAAATTTAATCAATGAATTCAATGGACACATGAATATTAGCGATACAAATAATAATGAAGCGATGATTCCCAATGAAGTCAACGAAACGCCTAAATCGCGTTTCAAGAAAGTGCCAAAAAAGTGCCGAACTCTGGCCAATAAAACCGCTGCTGATCTCAAATGCGATTGTATGGGCGCTGATCAGGTTTGCAGTGTTTGCAAATCCAAGCCCGAACTGGTGGCTCCCAGAGCCGGAACACCAGGTTTTCGAGCGCCAGAAGTACTGTTAAAATATTTATTACAAACCACTCTAATAGACGTCTGGAGTGCTGGCGTTATAATGGCTTCACTATTGACCGGCAGATATCCGTTCTTTCGTAACACTGACGACATGACATCGTTGGCCGAAATTGTAACGGTTTTCGGTTCAAAACGGGTCCTAAAAACTGCCAAAGATTTAGACAAAACTCTACTAATTTCGGTTAATTATCAGCCGATGGATCTCAAAGAGCTGTGCGAACGTCTTAGGGGAAAGACATCGACATTCAAAGCGCCTGATTCTGCCTATGATTTGTTGGACAAACTATTAGATCCAAATCCCAGATCCAGATGGAGTGCATCCAAGGCTTTAACTCATCCGTTCTTTACTGAAGACATAGATCACAGCAGTCATTCCAATAACTAATTAATCATTCATTTAGTTTTAGATCTGTATTGAAATTATTATTTTGATTTTTATAACATACAGTTTACATTACATTACATTTGAAAATAGGAAAAAATAGATTTCATTTATATTTTATTTAATTTTTTTTATAAAACCAAGCAATTAGTATATATATATAGTATATAAAAATTTATAATTGATTTATTATAAAATTATTGTGAAATTTTTTCGACAAATTGCAATAAAAATTTAACAAACGATCGCTCGATTAGAGTAGTTGTTGGACTTTTCGGACTACTCGACGATCCCGTAAACGATTGTGAGATACGTTTTTGACGACCTCCGCCAACACTGGACAATATGGTACTCTATAAATAATAAATCAAACAATAAGTTTATAAACAACAAAAATTGTTATAAAAAATGATTATGAAATATGACTTACGAGTTCCGATTTAATTTCACGGACTATCTTCTGTTTCTCGACGTCGGGAACAGTGGCTGATAGTTGAGCCACAATTGTCTGCGAGACCATAAAAGATAGAGTGGTCTCGAAAATTAATGGCAATAAATCAGATGTAGTCGTCTGAGAGCTCTGTTTGACTCTTTCGGATTCTGATGTTTTCTCCGACTTAAGACATTAACAATTAATTAATCCAATTATTTATAATAAATCCATTTTATGAAATCATTTATTATACTTACTCTGGTTATACTCTTTATGCACATATGTATACAATTGATTAGTGAACCGAAGCTTAGCGTCAAATTGGGATCAATGTTTGGCACAGAAAAGCTACTGTTTAGCAATAGTGTCCACTGATTGCCATCGTATCCCTGTCTCTCCATTAGTTCCAATATATTGGGCGAAATATTTTGTAGAAAAGCTAATGAAAATGCTTGAAATGTAAAGAAAAGGTCAACTAGTTTGGCATCGACTGACTGAAGTCTAAACTCGTGATCTAATGTGTGAAGAGGTTTGCCATCAATGGTTTGCGTTGTTGTCAAACCTTTCTTTGGTGTCATATTTGACGCCACAATCTTTGCCGCCGAAGTGTTGGGATTTTCCATTATGTATGACAATAGATTAGGACGAATAAGAAATGCAATCACAGAATTGCTTGTCTTTAGTATCTGTTCCCTAATCTTATTGAATGATAACAAATGATTTGTTTGCCATAATTTATGATAACGTGATACTGAATGACAAAGAGTGACAATTTTAATCGACTCGTAGATGTCCTGACTTTTCGGTGAAGTGGCAACTCTTATCAATGTTTCTAAAATATGATCCAAATGTATGGCAATGAAAGTGATGACAATGTCGATGAAATGATGCTTCAATTGATTAACTAAATTAGTCATCAATTGTAGTGATAAATGAAAGACATTAATCCAATTGATATTCAGATTAAATTTGCATTTTTTGGTGACATTCTCGCTGGTAGTCATATAAGTATTTTGAAGTGATAGACAAAGATTTTCGATAAAACCGATTAAATATAAAGTTTCGGCCGATGTTTGTATTGACGACAACTCAATAAAGAAACTCATTATATGAGCGGCCAATTCAACGCCCATTCTGTTCTCAATTAAATAAATCAATAGATTGGCCAACGATTCCAATACAAAATGTCCTCTAAGTGTTTGCGTCCAAACAGTCACTTGGGAACTGTTTTCTTCAATCAATGTCTGCAATAACGAGATGGATGTCATCGATAATTTAAATTCAGTTTCCAATCGATTTACAGGACTCTTGATTTGTTTTTCAATTATTCTTAAACATTGATTCAATAGTTTACACGAATAACTGGTCCAATCACAAGAATTTAATTCATTCGGATAGAGCTTCAAGAACTGGATGACTGATATCTCAATCGAATTTAAGACATTAAATGTCAGATTTTCTTTCGATTCGTCAACACTTTTCAATAGATCTTCAAATTTTTCAAATAAATCATCTTTAGATTTAATACAGGTTTCACTCCATTTGTTTAATAATAGTAGCAATAGTTCGGCAAAAATTCCGATGATTTTATTATCAATAGTTGGTCTCTGAATCTGATGCAATAGACAATCGATTATATCATCGATTAATTGGATTTTTGATTCATTATTTAAAGCGAAGGGATTAAACTATATAATAATAAATAGTTATAATATTAAAATTTAAAATCAAATTAAATATAATTAATATAACAAACCCTAGCAATCGATATAATGAATTCCTTCCATGCATTCAACAATAGTCGCGAGTTTTGGTCGATGACAACAACAACATCATCATCGGTGGTCGTAAATATCTGATGAATATGTTTAGACAAATCATTGAGTCGATGGTCATCTCCAAGTAGTTTAAACTTTGCCTCCAAATCACTGTCAAACTTATCTCTAAACAAAACAAAAAAAAATAAATTTATAATCAAATTATTAATTACAATCAACTCATATAATAATAATTATATCAAACCTTTCGAGTGTCTTCACGTAAAACACTTCGCGCGCCAATATTTTCAGTATATAAACACATAGAATATCATCGAAAACAGTGGTGTTCTCGAAGAGCGGGAATGTTATTAATGTCCAGACATTGGTTGTCTTTTTTAGCGAATCAATAGCAAGAAGATGAGGTCCAATCCAAAAGGTGTACAAGAATTTAAGTGAAGCCAAATGCAATTCATGAGGATATGTGTATTTGGCGTCACGTTTTTCAGATAGGATTTCCAGAACGGTTTGCAAACAACCGGTAGTATTGCTGTTATCGTCTTTGTTGTCAACATTAAGAAACATTTCCATCAGACCGGGTTGTCGTTCAACACAAGAGGACAAAAAGTTTAACAAAGCAATCTTAAAGTTAAGATCTTCGGTAACCTGATCCAAACGAAATAGAAAATTTTCGCGCATTGCTTCGGCATCCGAACCGAGACAGGCCAACATCGACATAGGAAAACATTTGGCCAATTGTTCCAACAGTTTTACAGCCAAAGTGGCCAAATGCGGATCGTATCGCTGCAAAACATATTGGGAGATCACGAACAACATGTTTGGCTGGCTTTGTGTCGAAAACAGTGAACTTTCGATGACATTTGACACTTGAGATGTGGTGGTGATGATGGTAGTGGTGCTGGCGTTGGTGTCGACACTCAACACTAGCAACGAAGTTAATACAGATAGTGAACGCCGAATGATCACAATTTGGTCGTCATCTACGAGTGAGCTATCATTACCGGCACTAAGAATCACATTCCGGACACTGGTTTCGCCGGTTTTGATGGCATTCAACAGTGTTTGCGATGCTTTGCCATCTTTGAGAGCAGTGATCAATACTTGCCCTAATTTTGAGTTTTTGTCGATTTTGGTTAATATTGTATCAAATATATCGTAACAAAGTCTTCCGACTTTGAATAAGTCGTTTTGTTGTTTAAAATTCCAGAAATAATGCGACGGATATATTTCGTTAACAATATAGACCAGCGATGCCATCAAATTGTTGTCGTCTTTTATCGGATCAATTTTAATCAATTCGGCAAACAATTTCAGAAATGCAATACACAGCTCATAGTGACCTTTTATCCGTTCTTCGGTAGCTATAAGTTGTCCCAACAGTGATGTATTTGTATCGCTTCCCATCATTATATCTTTTAGATCGGATGTCAATCCAATCATATAAGGCATAAATGATTTTCTGGTAATTCTTTGCCAAAGATTTATCACATCACTGGTGTATTTATATTTGATTAAAGTCGACGACAGTTCAATAATGGCGGCCATTAGAAGACGGTTTGGGGTTTCATTAGCCGATAGCAAGTCATAAGTTTCTAAACAAATAATTATTATTCTGTTAAATGATGGGATGTGTTGATAACAATTGTTGGCAATCAGATTGGAACAAATGGTAGTGATTTCGCTCAGTTCAATAAAAGCCGATTCAGAGATCTGATGCAATTGTCCTCTACTAATGAGTTCATAGTGTTGTCTGAAACGATGATAAATCAATGTCCAGCCATCGATATTGACTTCTTGCCATTCAATTACACGTTTATTGCTAACCATTTTCAACAAACCATTGGTATTCTTCTTAATAATTAGTTCTGTATTTCTGTATAACATTTTATCTCTTATTAGTGAATATATTGAATCAGTTTCTGTGGGAACATAGTTGGTGAGTGATGTATCAAATGGTTCCGTATAAGACCGTAAATTGGATAAAATCATAAGATATTCATAGATTTTCTTGCAGTTTGCTGTTTCTGATAGTGATAGACAAAAACAGAGGACAGGATTTGTTTTGAATGGAAAGTTCAGAAGTGCTGAACTAATGATTAATCCCAAACCGGAATCCAAACCATTTTCATATAAATCTTTAGCAATGTTATCGTTTTTGAATAGCTTTATACATAAATGATTGAGTGCGGGAACCGACTGGCCTAACATTTCAATATCAAATACATTGAATAACAAGTGAAGTAAATCACCGATTGTTTGGTATAACAAATCTAAGACAACTGTTCCCTTTAGTTGAATGGTTTGCGACAAAGAGAGACACTTTTCCAGATAATTGAATACATTTAGTTGGACAGCATTTGAACCCAAAAGTGATACAACTTGACTGCCGGTTTCATTCAGGTCGGTATCAGTGGTTACCCAACTGCGGACAATCATCCACATCAAGAATATCGGTGAGTGTTCGACGACCAATGAATTCATGTTTGTTATCTTTGAATCTAATTTCTTGAACAGTTGGACGTTAGTCGTCTTGAATAATTGACTTTCGATGTCTTTTTGTTGACACTCAGCCAACCACTTCAGGTCAATGCCTTCGACAATAATCATTGACTGCAAGAATCCAATAAATTTGAAGATCTCGTCGCTACCGATAAAATCACAATCATTGTGTGTAAAGTGTGAATAGTTTAGTCCAAAACTGTTTCGTTCAAAGAGTGTTAACAACTCGACAATGTTGTCGACCGATGTCTCAAAACCTTTGTAATACAGCAGCAATAGCTGCAAGACTTCTGTCTGTTCTTTGACATTGTTTTTGAGCCATTCTTTGGCCAACGCATCGGTAAAATACGGACCGTTTGACAGTTTTGACGGAACAGGCGTTTCGTTCAAGTGTACCAATTGTTGGAAAAGTTTCGGATAGAGTTGATTATTATCGTTGATGGTCTCGAGGAATGATAGAAATATCTGTTGATAGACGTGTACTGATGATGACTTCCAATGGCTTAGGATTTGTTTCAAACAAAATAACGAAAATAGTCTTTCGCTGTAATAATAGTCAAACAAATCGTTTAATAGTTGTTTGCTTTGCTTTTCATTAGTGAACAACTGTTTGACCGATTCGGGTGATCCGCGAAATTCAAAAAGAAGATACGAATTAAACAAATCAATACAATCGGTGGCCGACAAGTCCAACAATTGGCTTGTTTTGGCCAACAGTTCGGCCGGTAAAACACTTGTCGACTCTTTTTTCTTGAGTTCGGCCAACGAGTCGGCCAATCGATTGTGTGGCCGATAGTGTAGCAAACCATTGGTCAGTTGTCGGGTGTTTTTGTCTAGTTCTTCGCCTACAAACTCTTTGGTCTTCAGATTCAGTGATCCCGACAATAGTGTAAACAATATTTTCATTGATCTGTCAAAAAAAAGTTATCGGTTAAACAAAACGGCCGCAAAAAAACAATCAATTAATACATACTTGGGTTCGTCGACCGTATCGTTGGCCAAACCGTTAGTGGCCGACATTATGTGTGTGTGTGTGTATGTGTGTGCTATCGGGAGAATCTACTTAGTGGTCACCAATTGAGGGTAAAATTAAAAGACTATAACTATTAGCAATGCATTTATTTTTAATACATTATTATTGTTATTATTATCGCAATTGATATGACTTTTCAAAAACAATTCAACACATGTTTATTGGGTCTCATGTTTGCTATGTATTGCCGACAATAATAACGCTTATTATTACCGGTATTATGATTGCAGTACTTATTGCATAAAATACAGGTAATTATAAAATTATTATTCAATAAATACCTATAAATTCCAGATATAAGTTAATATTATTAATATTAATGTTTTAAAAAATATTAATGTTTAAATAATTGTTTAATTTGTTTATAAAAATTAAGTGTTTCTTTAACAACAAAAAAAACTAAAAATTTCGGTTAAAAACTTTAAACTATAAGTTAATTATATTATATGAATATTTTAACCTTTAATATATCTTTATATAGAAATAAAGCAAATTATTTAATTTTCATATTATTTTTTATTAATGTCTTAATTAAAAAAAAATAAAATTAACCTAACTTACTATTAACCCTTACCAATATAATTAAACTTGACAATTTTTTGGGTTTAAATATAATATTTTATCAACAAAATCATTATTATTGTGAAAAAAATAATTAATCGCTTAAAATAACAATTGATTTATTTTCGTAATAATTTTTATCTAAACTAAATATACTACTGAATACCAATTGACTGTTTTTAAAAAAATTTATATAGTGTTAAAGTTCAACACTACTAAAACTTTATTTTATTACCAAAAAGTAAATTGTTTTAATCGTTTTATTGTAATTGCATCAAAAAAAAAAAATGTTTTAATAGATTGTTAATATTTTTTCTGTTTAAACAAATTGTACACTTTTTGTGTGTGTTTTATTGAACATTATCTATATTTTTTATTAATAAAACGTGCTTGATAAATAAATAATAAACAATTATCCGATGATAATAATAATAAGATGATGATTAATTATTTATATATTGTTTATATATAATAAAATAATTCAAACATTTTTATTTTATTTACAAAATAAAATAGAAATAATAATAGTAATAATACTGTTTAATACATATTTAATGATGTCGTACCAGTATGTAAATCAATGATATTATATACCGTATATTATATTTTACTAATGTATTTAAAAATATATATAATTGTGAAAACTAGGTATTTATTACATATTACACAACCTGAGTCTTGTGTGGAAATATTGACTTATTATATATATATATATATCATTAAAAACCTACTATTGAATCGTTAAGAAAAAAAAATAATAATCATTAATTGATAAATAATAGTTTGTAGATATTATACTGTACTGTACGGTAGATTGCCATACATTGTAAGTCAATAGTTATACTATAGTATCCATTATCAAGTCTATGATATATTAATAGAAAAAATTAAATACCAATCGATAGGATCAGACTATCAGCTAACTAACAAACAACTACATCACTAGTTGTTTAAACAATTTTTTTTATTATATATATAATATATAAATTGATAAGTGATTCAAGAGATGTCATGGCTTAGTGAGAGTGTATGTGAGAGGTCGGCGTTTAAATGTTATTCACTGTATATTGTGTATCTGTATATGTATTATACATGTATTATATCACATACGTGTGTGTGTAGAGTGAGTGCCTGTTGTGCCATCAGTTTTATTGTACAGTTAGAGTACAGTAGTATTATTATTATTGAGGAGGAAAGCAGTCGTGAATATTATCTAAAGAGTGTGTGTGTGAGTGAAAACTCCGGTGTTTTTATCCAGTGTTGTGTTTATAGCAAACTCTATACACACTTCTATTCAATAGAAGATTCTCTCTCTGTATGTGTATTCAAGAATATTCTGTATTCAAGAATATTCTTGAAGTTTATTATATTTGTTTGGAAAGAGAGATTAGTGTCACCTAAAAAAGTCTCTGAAATTTGAATACTAATACTAATTATTAATAATATAATTATTTAAAATCTAAGTTTTGAAAATATTGTTGTGTTATATTTTGAAAAACTTTTTTTTATATCTGACTGTGTTTTTTGTTGTTTGTATGAACCAGTGATTCAACTAAACTTTATTTATCAATATATTTTTTGTGGTAAAATCACACCAAAAAATATATATATTATATGACTTTTATTGTTTGCATCGCTGTTTCTTTAGAAATAGTTATTTGATAAGTTGATAGATATTATTGTTGTTTACATCAAACAAATTTATATTATTTGAATCAAGTATTAGATTCATAAATATAATGTTGCAAATTCAACTTTATATTATTTATTATTTATATTAATACAATATTAATATTGTTATTATTATTATAACACAGTAAACTTATTGCGGTGTTTATATTTAGTGAATAATATACCAAATTATACCAACAAAAACAAAAAACAAATATATATATATATATATACAGTATATGTATAATAAATATTTATTATCATTAATGTCATATAAGTTTACAGTACATGAATTGTTATCTATTGAATGGATTGTTACAGTGATCTTAAATTATTATTATTATTATTATTATCAAACATATATCGTACATAACAACAGAAGCAATTGTATGAAAAAAACGATATAAAATATATATTATTCAAACACACCAACAATAAACAATTGAATCATATAAATCATCGGAGGACTAACTTTTATATATATATTTGTTGGGCACTTACATACATACATACATACATACAGTACATCCATACATATATATATCCAGAAGAATGGGCAAAAAGAATAGTAAACTCAACTCAGAAGTGGTTCAAAAGCTTACAAAAGACACATATTGTAAGTGAATCACGTATTTCCTCCAAAAAACTACTTTTCATTTCTCTCTCTCTTTCTCTCTCTTTCTCTCTCTTTCTCTCTCTTTCTCTCTCTCTTTCTCTCTTTTTCTCTCTCTTTCTCTCTCTTTCTCTCTCTCTTTCTCTCTCTTTCTCTCTCTTTCTCTCTCTGTCTGTCTATATATATATATATATATATAATTTATATATATATGCCTTACTTTACTAAATTAAACTAAAAACTTACATATATTATTAATATTATTACAGTATTATATAATATAAATATACAGTACTCAACAAAAATCTTAAGTAGACTTCCAAGTACTGTATATACTGATGAATGCATTTAACATATATATACAGTATATATATATAATGTATATTTTGTGTGTATCTAATTCAATGTCCTCCAGATATACATAGATATGCTTTAATACTATACAGAAGTATACTGTATATGATATAAAATTCTTGTGTGTGTTGTTTATGATAGAAATGCTGATTATAAGAGCCCTAAAGTATTACACTTTTTTCAGCTGAAAATAATCGGATAAAATGTCAAAAACTAATTTTTTGTTACTATATTTTCATCAACAAAAAAATATGTATAACATTTAAGATTTATAAATTTCAAAATTATTATTTACATGTATATGTAAAATATTATTTATATATTATATGACTATATACTACAATATAAATAAATATCGTATAAACTATTTATTTATTTACAATCCAATTGTAAATCACTGCACTTGTTTTTTCACAAAATTATTAAACCATTAGTTTATCAAACTGCATATATTGCATAAGATTTTTTAAATACTGTATTTATATAATGTACATATATTATATAATAACAGCAATTTTTTTATCATATAATACCAAATATATAAACATTATGTATAATAGTAATATGTAAATACTGTATGTTGTTTGCCATATGTAGTTTAAGTATATATATTTTACTTTTATTATTATTAGTATTTTATTGATAATATAATACCATTAAAAAATTTATATACAATATACAGTACATATACTAATATAATATTGGATGAATAAACCGATTTTTTGTCGCTATAATATAAGCCAACATTTTATTGTCGTATCCTTTTTTCTCCCGTTTACGACATTACTGTTTAAACAAGAATATTGTAAAATAAACAGAAAATTTTTATATTTATTTTAGAGCCGAGACTGTAATAAATAGGATTTTGTTAGCAGATATATATTGACATTAATATATACGGTATATATATATATATATATTTATATGTATATTATATTTTCAATATATTGAACGATAACTGAGATGGTATAGCAAAATGTCTTAATTCTATCGAAAAACATGACTCTCTCTCTCTCTCTCTCTCTCTCTCTCTCTCTCTAACAGTTTCTACAATATCACTAATGTATAACTAAAATATATAATATTGTAATCTAATAAAAAAAAACATTTTTTAATAGCATTTATTATTTCATATATGAAAATATTATACACAAAATATTTTTTATGACTTAGGCAACATATTTTATTTAATATACAGTATAATAATAATACTGTACATATTTTTATTAAATATTTAAATATATATTATATATATATTAATTGTATATGCAATGTATTATAAAAATTTATTGACGTTATAAATTATAATTATTTAGTGCATAAAATCACTATTTTATTTGAATTATACAAAAAAATATATATATATAAAACAATTATCACTTAATTTTTTATAATCTCTTTATAGTATAATTTATATATTTTATAAATAAAACCGCACCTAAAAATATAATAATAATTTTTTTAAATACACTCAAAATAGACATTTAAAAAATTCATATATTTATTTATGCTAATTATTCTGTAGGTTATATAGTATATAACATTTGTTTACCACAACATTTACATTGAATATTGAATATACAATATATATGTATTATATATATATATATATATATATATATATATATATATATATATATATATTGATATATGTAATAGTATTTTATATGTACCATTAATATAAATAATCTAATTATTTTATTATCTATTATTGTGCTTAAAATCAATAATAATAGTCAAAGAAAGTAATATCAATAATAGAAATAATAGAAATACTACTAATCGAAGGGATTCTTCTCAATAAAATAATAATAATATTATATATATTTTAATATAAAAATTTACATTTACTTTATTCATTACACATTCAATTTTGCTATTGTGGTGAATATTATTATTATTATTATATTTTTAATTATCTATCTATTGTTTTGCTCCATTTAATCATTTTATCAAAACAATTAAAATTATAGTATTTGAAAAAACATTGTCTGAATGTATATACTGTATATAGATATATATATTAATATAACTATATATAAATTTATATTAACACATTAACTATATATATATATATATTAGAATTAATATTTATTAATATAATTATCATATAATATAATAAATATAATAAAAATATGGACAAAAAATATTACATTTGCAATCATATACAGTATATATTTATGATATTTATTTTATCATATTTTGACTTATTTTAATGCTAGTGTTATTGACAAGTACTGTATATACTGTATTAGATATAAGGATATTGCAAATATTGTATTATATAAATACAGTATATATTATATCATAAATTAATACAATTTGATAATCTCACAGTATATAAAATGTGACATACAATATAAATAATAGACGTATATATTAATATAAGTTATATACAGTATACGAAATGTACTAACATTTGTACAAATATAATATATATTTTGTGTTATTTACAGTACAGTATACAATGTATATATAGCTAATAGAAATAGCGCTTTAATCTTAAATTAAAATATATATATATAGATAAAGATTAAGCAAAAATTTAATTATAATATTAAATAATCGATTGAGAAAAACACAAACACACAGATTAGCTTATAATTTAATATACTGTTTATTGATTTTCACTATAATATTGAGTTAAAAATATATTATTGTATTAATATATACAGTATTATGACCTATGTTTCTAAGTGTTGTACAGTTTATTTTAGATAACTTGACATTTGAAGTGATTATTAGCAAAATAATAATAATAAATAACTAGATATTAATTAATTTCGGATTATTTATTTATTTTTATTGCTTATTTTACATAAAATTCAAATTACTTGTACCTAATTAATTTAAAAATTATTATTATTGTATATTACATATTAAAAAATATATTAGTTGTATACAATTTTTGTTTATATTTTTTTAGCAATTTTTAAATATGTATTAACTAAGCTACAATTTATTTTTAATCAATAATAATTTTTTTTAAAATTTATTCATTTAATTTTAATTATTAAATTAGCATACATATACTGTATATATTTGCATTTCTATTGTATAGTATATTATTAAATTGTAGTGTCCACTACATTACCTTAAGCTAATTTAGTTATAAAGTATTTTTGTATTTAAATTCCCAATAATTTTGTATACATTTATTTTATATCCTATTTTTGTGCTAAATTCTTAGTATTGCTTTTCAATCGGTTATACAGTTCCTTATACTTACCGGTTGCTGACCTCAGACCTCTGGCACCAAACTAACTGTTCAACGGTTCCCACATTCAAACTATCCAATGATAGCTAACCATTCCCTATACCTACCCGTCCTCTCTCAAACACTATAAATACTGTACTACAGTATACACATACTTTAGTACAGTGCCAGCCGTCATACACAACAGTCATACCTGACTCTCACATATCATACTGTACTCACATCATACATGTGCTCCACTGATAGCACCATTTTAACCATACAATCCATTGTATCCTCAATTGTCTTAAACTAATCAATAAATTGTTATAATTATCTTATACCTGTGTTAATCATACGATTCATTACCATCGCTATTATCATCATAGAAACTATCACTTCAAGAGTCCAACCGGTTGTTCACATCATTAAAGACATACATACAACCCGGTTGTCCATCAACTCTAACCTACCGTTCCGTATCGCGTGATATCAAGAGATAGTACAGACATCCAGATTGGGATCAGCTCTAGCTTTACGCTTGGCCACCACTACTGCAAGTGATCTACCCTTTTATCATCCGATAGGTCTCATACCGACCCTTCAGGTGATAATCTATAAGGAATTGGTTGATAATCGGTTGTAGGCCTCATACCGACCCACGCATAACAACCGGTGCTCTCCTATTCCTCTAAGTTGTGTCCAAACATACAAACTCAGGCACAACAATTGGCGCAGTCAGTAGGATCATTAAAAGATCCTTATCTTCGCGTATTGGATGACGACTATCAATACAGGGTTCACTAGACACGGAACTCCATATCTTCGACGAGATATCTCAACTAATAGCGATTCAGACAACACAGTAACCAACAACACATCAGACATGTCCATCAATGGTGAAGACAACGATACACTAAATCTGGTTAATGCCATCGCAGACAACACAACCGGTATCTCATCTAATTGTGTACCAATCGGTACAACCGGTAACTCAGCCACCAACGGATCCTCTACCACTGGCTCAGCACCGATGCTCTCAGTGAAGATACCAAAGTTTAATGGTACTAAAGACTCATCTCTACGTATCGAAGCATTCCTCTTAATCTTCGACAGAGTCTTCGCTCATCTCACAGATGATAACAAACTCATCAAAATCGTTGAGTTCCTCGAATCAGACGCAGCCAACTATTACGGCTCAGACCTACTCATCGACACATCCATCAACTGGATCAAAGCTAAGCAACTGCTTACCAACAGATATACCCGACTGGACATTCCTCCAGAAGTGGCCGCCAACCGCCGGCGCCAACAACGATCGGAGTCAATCCGCGCATACTTCGATGACAAAATGGAGATTTTAAGACGCCTCCAAAACTACACCGACAATCAAAGAGCAAACCTACTCACGGAAGGCCTACTCCCTGAATACCGTGAATACTTCTATGGCCGA